ATTTTTTGATACATGTTCTAGTTTTAAATTTGGATGACATATGATATTTATTATGAATAAAAAGTTGTTTTGATGTAATTTAAAATATTATTCGTGGCTAACTACTTAAAACTTAAAACTTMTATACATTTCATATATACAAGTATATTTTCAATTTAAATATTATCTGTAAAAATAATTCAACCTGCCGTATCACTAATAAATTGTAAAATTAATTACTTTAATAGTATAATGTTATAAAATTTCCTCATTGTAATATACGGGCTGAAAGACCGTATACACTCAAAATTGTTTTTTGTATACAACATATATCTTTGAATTAAAATTGAATACATTCATAACAGTGTTTTACTCAATGGCGATAGGTACACTCAACCTACACTTACTATACAGCATATTCACGGTTACCTACATTTCGTCCGTTTAGAAATATAATTTTATTTTATTTTTATATTATAATTGCGTTGGTTATTATTAAAAAATCGTWAGTGTATTATTTTTACCAAATATCAGTTTTTGAATTAAAAACACCGTCTATCAATGACTCTGTTGGCATCCATTTAATGGGTAACATTGCTTGGCCATCTTTTCTGTAATACTCGTTTCTGAAAGAAAAAAGTTTAGTCACACTATATTATTATTGTCACACATATAAATACACAGATGACGTACCTATATACATCCCTAGACATTCCGAAGTCGGCAATTTTTGTTACTCTTCCACGGCCTGTCGTAGACAGCAAACAATTTCTGGCAGCAATATCTCTGTGGATAAAATGAAGATTTTCCAAGTATACGCACCCTTTGGCAATGTCCAATGCCATTTTCAATAAATCTTTTAACTTTATGGGAATGATTTTGTGATTTTGTTGCTGAAAATTGTATTTACCTTGTTAGAAAAAATATAGGTATTTCAAAACTAAATTGTAAATAGTATAATAAATAGAAACAAATATTAATGTCGAAATAATAAATTATTATTTTCCAAAGATAAAAGATAATTAAATTTTTTTTTTCTGTTTAAACTTCTTAATCCTATAAATTGTGTTCCGTTAAATAATACACTAATTTGGTGCTCTAAGGTTTTATATATTTTACAATAAATCTACATTATGTCAACATTTTGTTATGTTAATTTGTTTTCGCAAAGTTTTACATTTTTTGTACATCAATAATTTATTTATTAGTATCGTTCATTAGATAGGCATYATTTTTATTATAAAATCGATTATAATTATTATACGTACAACTGAAGGACGATTCTTGCGCAGAAATTCTTTTAAATCACCACCACTCAAAAGTTCTGTGACGATGAATCTATAGTTTTTTTCGAAAGTKATTCCAATAAATTTAACAATGTTYGGATGATTAAACTGGCTCATTATGATGGCTTCGGTCAGAAAGTCACGTATACAAGAYAGTTCAGCTCTTTTGATCCTTTGCCTTTTTTCTCTTTCGACTTCTGGATTAGGTGTATTGTCGTCATCGAATTTAACTTCTACGTTGGTCATGTCTTTTTTTGGTTGTAGAGTCTGAAACAATTCCAATCGAGTGTTGTGTACGGTGGTATATTAGCTCAATGAAAGTATTATGTATTCTGATCAGACACACGTATTGGTACTAACCTTTATCGCGACACGCATTTCATTCGTTTCACCCGTTTTTTTATAGTACCCACGGTATACCACGCCAAAAGCTCCTTCGCCAATAGATCTAGAAATCACACGTAGCATACATTTTAAACTTTGCCATTTAGAAATTAAAGTTAAAAGTTCCTTTCCACTATAATAGTRCTGTTCTGTCTCAAAATCACATTTACAACACTGATTAAATTATATTACGACGATTCAAAGTTACACGACCCTTATAATATATTATGGGTCTGTGACAATNTTTAAGTTTTTATCCACGCTTTAAGCATGGCGTATAATTAATATGGTTTAACCATACCCCTATTTAATTTTACCCACCAAATAACCAATATTATTATAAACGTATATATAAGTTTTTTTTTACTGTATACGGTTATGTATTTTAAATAATTTTTGCTTATACACACGGTTTATTGCGTAGTTATTTGTCTGTTAATTTAGGTCACAATATTGTTTGTAATATACAAGTTGTTAGACGTGTATATAGCACATTCTCAAAAAAAAAAAAAAAAACAATTATATTATAGGTAGATGATGTGAATTAAAAATGGAAAAAAAATATTTACAACAGTCGTACATCAAAACAGAATATAAACAATAAAGATTGTACACGCAGCGTGCGAGAACATTTTATAACATTTCCAAGGACTCGATAACCGAAGTCCTTGAGTCCGGATGTCAGCATCTTATTTTCCCGTCACTGGCTACATTGTAACGGACRCGCCCCGTCAACGAATAAGGGTTGGGCCTGTTGTCTTCGAGTTCGGAGAACGATTTTCTTCTCTTAGACGGATTTGCCTGGCCGTCCGCATCCGTTTGTTTGGTGTTGGGTTCCTTCATGCTGATGAAACTCGTCTCTTTGAACCTACTGAAATAACATGAATATTAAATTATTGATACGTGTTTGTCGATTGTATGTTGTTTATAAAGATATTGTTAGATGTGTGTACCTACATAATGATTATTATTATAAATACTGCATAAAATATAATTTCAAAAAATGTGTACTAATAAAATTTTGCTTTATGTTGTGGTTAAAAAAAATATGGGATACAATGTAAAACGTAAACGTTTCACTTAAACCTATTTTAATATTTGTAAGACCGAAATTTGAAAGATATTAATGATCTTTTTAATAGGTAACAAATTTTATTTAAATTTAATTATTTAAAAAAATATACTTTCATCAATTTTAGTGGAATCTCATGAAATTAGGTTCAACCCTTTTTACTGCTTTTCACACTCCATCTATTATCAGGTGCAGTTTACTTGAAACACTTACTTCCAGTGATACGAGGTCACAGGGCCATTGCTCCTGGCGTTGTTATCTCCGTATGCATCGTCGTCGTCCTCGTCGAATCGATTGTTGTCAGCGTCCAGGACGATCTCCGCACCATTTGCGTCGTCGTCTTCTTCCTCTTCTACGTTCTGTTCGTCGTCGTCGTCGTCGTCGTCATCGTCACCATCATCAACCTCGTCGTCCACTTCACCAATATTCGCTGCGTCATCGTCCTCGTACTCGTCTTCTTCATCACTACCGCTCTCATTGTCGTTGTTGTCGTCATCCAGCGGTGCCATCTCGTTGCTGCCCCGGAACCTGCCAAACCGCTCTGCGTCCCTCATAATTTCCGCATCCACACCTTCGAACATGTCATCGGCTGGAAGTGGCGTCACGTACTGAGGTTCTTCTTGGTGTTCGTTTTGGGGTAGCTGATGGATRCTACCACTTCCGGCGACGCAGTCATGGGCACGAAGAACACCATCCGGCGGCGCATTATCGTCTAATGGATGAGTCGCTCTGTACGGAAGCTGCGCCGCAGGTCTGCCGATCACCGGAGGTTTAAAATCGAGGATGGCTGGGTCCTACGCAAATAGATCACAAACAAACACACACACATATATATATATATATATATATATATTATGTTATTACACATTACAGTGGGTCGCGGGTACACGATGTGTAATACATTTATTTATTGTAACAGGATACGTCTTGTCAATAGGGKGAGGGGTCAGAAGTAGTTCTAAAGAGTTTAAAATTTCCTAGAAAGAAAACTGATTGTACAATTTTATTATTTAYGTAGTTAATCACAGRTCCATACCCCCTATGAGCCCTACGTAATAGAAATTGTGAATCATAAAATAAAATACTGTTTTAAATTTTGATTTCAAATATATTTCGTACTATTTTGGATCACTTAAAGTAGATGGACCGTTCATAATATATTTTGCAACAATATATACAATAAATTTCCAGTGYTTTTCCTGATCAAAATATTTCATGATACTGTTCATTATTTATATAGGCGTATTTGCGTGAAAACTGCTTACTTGTATAAAGAGACGAAGTTTATTACGGATGTACTCAAACGTAGGCCTGGTTTGAGGGTTAGTTTTCCAGCAGCTGCCCATTAGCTTATACACTGGTTCTGGRCAAATCACTGGTCGAGATAAACGCCCACCTCTCATGACGTAATTCATTGTCTCTTTGTTCGTCATACCCGTATATGGCATAGACCCAAATGTCATGATTTCCCAAAATGTAATTCCATAAGACCTGAAAAAAACATTTACATTATACATGAGAGATTATAAGTACTTTCAGAATACCCAAAACTGTTAAGTTAAATAAATTCAAATAAATTATTATAAAATT